TCAGATGTGTTTCTAGTCTGAGAAGGCGACAGATAAATTTTCGGGGTTTCAGCAAAAAAAGGAAAACGAAATGGTTCAGCCCTCTTTGCGAAAGACCCTTTCGTTGGAAAGTTATGTAAAAGGGGTTGAAATAGGATTAAAAAACCCAGGAAATACATGTTTTGAGGAGGAAGCCAAGGTGGGAGTTGAGAAAGTGGGAAGAGAGGGGGAAAGCCGTGCTCTGCGTTAGGGGAGAAGAAAGGGTGGAGCTTTTGCTTGGGTGGAAGGGGCATGGGGATGTGAATGTGCCGAACTGGTGCTGGGCTCTGCTTGTGTCCTTCCCAGGGACATGGGCTTCTTTCTCTGTGAGTACCACCCTAGGGAATGGCAGGAAATACCTGCTTAAGGACTTACTGCCGCTCAGTTCCTCCAGGGTGTATTTACTTTAGCAAAACTTTGTCCATGTTTTAGCAGCAACAAGAAAGCCTGGGTCTGTGTACTGCATTGCAGGACAGCCACCAGGAGCTTAGAAAAATGAGTATGTGGCAAAAAATTGAGACGACTGGGATTGTTACCTGGAAAAAGAGATGAGTAAGAGAGGAGGAAACCAAAATAATATATACAGTGGTGCCACAGAGAAGGCAGATCATGAGCTCCCTTTTTCTGTCTTGTAACATAGGAAGAGGGACACTCAGTTAAGTTAAAAGTTGCCAAAGAGATGCAAAGATTATTTTTGTACAATGTGTAATTGGGCCACAGAATTCACTGACTCTGGAAGATGCTGAGGTCAGGAATGAGGGAACGTTAAAGAAAAGTCTATGTGGGCTTTTGACTGGTTAAGATTCAAGGCTTTAATTGGTGAACTTGCCAAATTTAGGAAGAGAAGAGTTGAAAACGTCATGTCTGTGGATTTAAGCAATTCTCTGACTGTTGAAGAGTTAGCGTGGGGCTGGAGTATCCCATACCTGCTCAATCTAGAGATCCTTGCATGTTTTTGCAGATAGTCTAGTGTTGACCACTGTCTGAGGAAGGGTCTTGGTGATGAAGGGAAGTGCAGACCTTCTGGAGAACCTGCCTAGTCCCTCCTTGCGGCAGCACATTCGAAGGTGGAGATGATAGCGCTCGAGAGGCTCCTGCTTGGATTTCTGTTGGCATGGGGGACGGTGGAGCCAGCAAACCTCTGTACAGCAGTGGATAGAGAAAGGTTTTTAGATGTGATACATGAGAGCATGATGAACGGTGATGTGGTCTAGGGTGGTGCTTGATGTTCTCCGGGAGAACATGTGGGTGTGGAAGTGCCCTTCACATGCCCTGGGAATGCACTGGAGCGTCTGTTCTGTTTGGAAAGTTTTACTATCTTTCAAAGGCATAATGGTCTAAAATGGTTGGGGGGGGTGTGTGGAATCCAGGGGAGAAGGTGGGAATGTCTGGTGTGGGGAAGCGCAGAGAGCTGCAAGAGTAACAGTGTGAGACCCGTAGTGTGGGTAGTAAGAGAGATGGCAGAATACGTGCATTGAGAGGGGAATATAACAGCAGTTATCAAAGAGCAGTGAGTAGGGGCGCAGGGTCCGTACCCCATCGCTGCAAGCGAGGAGGCGGGGGGAGCAAGTGCATGCTGTGATTCTAATCCGTAGGCCCGTGTTTGAGTTTCTGGTCCCCTCTCGCCTGCTCAGTCTGATCTGGAAGTCAATGGCAAAACTTACTCGGAAGGGCAGTGACCTGAGTTTTTGCTTTTTGTGCCATCTGTTTGTCTTCGGAGGCTGCTGTGGGATGCACCGACCTGTGACCTGAGGTAGTGCTGCTCTGTGTAAAACACCTTGTGTCATCTGTTCAGGAGCAAAAATGTCAGCCCCCTAAATATAGAAATTCAGTGTATTTACTTTTCCAGCCTTGGTGATCCTTCTGGTTTGCTTAGTTCATTTTTCTTACTGCTATTTTATATTTAGCTTGCTGATTGAAATATCAGCATCCCCTCTTAAGGGTAAACATTTTTCCTCTCCTTCAAATCAGTTCTGCTAACTACCTTTTTCTTTTCACTACTAATTGCTTCTCTTTTTTCCTAACTTACTTCCCCCCAACAAAAGTCTAGAAAATATTGTTATAAAAATTATGTTATAAACATTGAACAAGTTACATTACCTGCTTGCCATACATATCTCCATGGCTTTCTTTGGTTTCTGGTCCATCATAATTTACATTTCTAATTTACATTTGAGTTCCTTAGGTGGATTCTTACTATTCTAAATGTTGCAAATGTCAAATGTCATTGATTAATATATTAAACAGTCTTAATTAATTGCAACAACATCTGCACCTTGCATTATTGTTTTTCAAAAGACTAAATTTTGGCTTTCACAGTTCTGACTCCATCACCTACGTACATTTGATAGACACTTAATGCACGCAGTGTGATACATTGCTCACGTTTCCCATTCCGCTTTGCGTTTTAGGATGGGAGATTAAATGGTTCTGTAGCTTGGAAAGTGAGGGAGGCAAAACTTTAACTTCTAGCCAATTTGCTAGTGGGGATGTAACAAATCTTTGTGAGAGCAGAATAAGCTTGCTTCCCTTATGTTTCAAATTATTTTATGTTTTAATATATTCCAGTTTGTCCCTACTTAAAATATAGAAGACTTCAAAATAAGTAGTTTACAAGAATTAGTCAAGGAAGTAGCATTTCTCTCTCTTTAATATAATTTTTGGAACAGTGTATTCTACAGTTAAATCCTTCCAACATGCGGTTTAGGATCATGAGGGAAGTATCAGAGAGGGAGGAACAGATTTTGAGCATGGGCAAGTGCTCCCTGACTCCAGACATTCCTTTGTTGGCCATGTATTGCTCTAAAAGAAGCAAGAATAAAAAATGATTCTGCTATAAATGGTCTTTGAATGGCAGCTGTTGACACAGTAACTTTTTTTGCAAGTTAAAGTTGTTCCCTTTACTGGTCTGTGTCATCATAGTTGTTACCTGATTTTGATTCTATTTGATCTGACAGTTCTGATTTTTCTCAGGTTGTCTGCTCAGAACAGCTTACCACCTTGTGGGAAATAACTTCATTAGGCTTACATAATTAAAAGCAAAAGAAAACATTTCCTTTTGTTATTTCATTTTTTTAACTAAACGAGCTGAATACATGGGATTTGTGTCAAATAAATTACTGTCTGAGCTCAGGTGGCTTCAGAAGGGACAGATAACTCCATGTCGTTGATTGCAGAGGATTTTTATGTGAGACCCGGAGCTGCCTCTCAAGGAACCCTCTTTCCAGCCCAGCTGTTGACTAACAGAGAGATCCGTGTCCAAAAAGAGCAGCTAATTTCCAGTGTGGCAAGAGGGAGGAGGATCCTGAGTGGCTGCACTTCAGTCTGTCCGGGATTTGCTGGCAGGCGGCAAGTGCTTGACTAAGATCCCTTGATTCAGGTCCACCTCAGTTGTTTTCATTATTGCTTTCTCTGTGTAAAAGGAAAGAGGAGCTATCCCATTCCGCACCTCAGGAATAGACGCCCTGGATAAAATAGTTGATTTTTGTCTGCTCTGCTGTCTAGCCCATGCCGTGTCCAAACCCTTTCTCAGGCTGTAGAGTGGAGTAGAAATTGGAGGAATTTTGTTTTTCCTTCCTGCAACTTTGGCATGACAGAGAAGAATGTCGTACTATCTAGGAGACAAATGTGTTTTAACTGCCACCTCCCCACAAGAAGTTTGTTCTTGGTTCAGACTTCTTATTGTCTTCCAGAATCTAATCTGAATTTCCCTTCCCACTCACATTTGGTTCTTGCCTGTTCTTCCGTTCCTGGCTTTGTAACTATTTCTGGAACCTGCAGATCAATCATCTTTCACTTGATACCAAGATAAAGATGCCTGCCTCTTTCCATACGGCACTTGCTTCCTGCAGTTGTTTTAGTGCAAGTCTACTGAATGGGTACTAGCTAATTTGTAAAAATGCGTTGTCAGAGGAAGATACTAAAACGTAGCTTTTTAGATGTTGAAGCAGAAATCTTGTTTGCATCGTGTGGCTTTTCTTTCTATATCAGATGATTATAAAGCTTCCTTGCTCCATATAAGACCGTTTGCTTCGAGAGCTCCAGATGTTTCCACAGGCATCCCTCACGGATGCTCCAGGAAGGAGTGTGAGCTGCCTGAGCTGCCAGGTGCTGCCTGTTCAAAGAATGGTCGGCAGCACTTGTGTGCCTGGAATTGCTGTCCCAACACCAACCGTTCAGGTACCTGGCTGGGAAATTTTGGTGTAAAAGCCTTCCTGCACACGTGTTGGGCTACTGGGTATTAATGTGGCCATAGATCAGCTGATGGACAACGCGGTGGGGGCAGTTTCTTGCTCGGTTCACGTCAGCCCTGAACTCCTGTGATCATGGCAGAATTGCCCTCCGTCTGCCATCACAAAATAAAATTTCCCCAATGTGCTCGGACTGACTGACTGAGTTGAATACTTTGCATTTTGTTGTGCAGAGCAGAAGGTCCTATTTTTCATTTTTGAGGTGTATTAGATCTCCATGTCCTAAGCGAAGGAAAGTCTTTATCATACTTCAACATTTAGCATAGTTTAAAAGAAAAATAGTTGTTTACACCTTCACAATACCATGTCAGAGATTTACTAGTTCAGTTTAGGAAACTCTTTGGTATAGTCTTGAGCACTTTTGTACGCCCAGGAACTGTTTGTGAAGGGTATTTTCTGGTCTTGTTGACTCTTGTGTGAATACAAAGAAAGGCTGGAACCTCAGCCAACGTAAACCTGGCTCTGCAGGCTGCATTCAGCAGCAGCAATTTACACCAGCTGAAAGTCTTTCCCAAAATTGAATCACACGGAAGAAAAAGGCATGTGGAAGTAGTACCGCTTTGGTAATTGCGCTGGCTTGGTCCCCACCATTCAGGAGTGACAGCTTTTCCTTTCCTGGCAGTGAGCCACTGTTGTGCTAACGGCTCTGGAGAAGAGATTAAAAGTAAAGAGTGGGTTAAAATAGTGTGGGAATGAGTCCCTTGGAACTGTATCTTGGGGTGGGTTTGAGAAATGCAGTGGCAAAAGTCAGCTTGTACTCTCTCAAGTAGGAGTGACCATCAGTCAGGACAGCGGTTTTTAGTAAGGGATGAAATGCGAGTTTGAGAGAGAAGGCATGGGCACTCCTAAGCCCACAGGCACCAAGGTCAGATGGAGATTGCTCAGATTTTTGCAATTCCCTCTCTGCAGCCTGTGCTGGGTGTGGCGTTAGCACGGTATATCCTACAAAGGTTGGGATCCTTAGCCTGTTCCTCCTTTTGATTCCTGTAGGCAGGGTGAAGTTGCACATGGCGGAGCTAACCTGTTACTATCAAAAGGGCACCCGTGCTCCCTTTCCCGCTTGCCCTGGCTCTGACGCTCACTGACGCCATGGTAAGGTAACAATTCGGCTCACTACCTTGACAGAAAACTACCAGCTGCTTTTTTCCTCGTCTTTGTTTTCCTGATTTAGTGAGTTGTATTGGTTCCGCTTTGGAGATGGGTAATTGCTTGCGTCAACACATGCCAGGGAGGCAAAGTCCAAAGGAGGGGATGTCTTCGGTTTGGTGATGGTGAGCTGTTTGCGCCTAACTTGCCCCGTAGATGGTAGGTTCACAAGCACTTAAAACCAGCAGGAACGGCCCTGCTGCTGAAATGCTTGCTCCTCTCCGCCTCTGCGGTGGTTCCCAATCTTGTGCCACCATATCTGTCAGCCATTGCGAGTGATTATGTGTGGAACCAGTGTGGGAAAATGACCTGGATTAAAATAATTAAAAAAAAAAAAAAAAGAGTTAGTTTTAATCCATGTCGGATTTCCCGTCTAGCTTATTGCACAAGTACTACAGCCAGCGCAAGCCAAAGGGTGCAGCGGGCAGGTGGGATGGTCCTTTCGCCTGTGCTCTCACTATCAGAATGTCTTGTCTACCACCGTACTCTCCTAGCAGCTTCCAGAAAAACTGATTTTCACAAGGAAAGGTCTAATCAGACCCTTACAGCTTATATTCTCCTAATTATCTGGAATACACACTCCCTGCCACAGAGCTTTCAGAGTTGTCCAAGCTGATCTCTTGCATAGCACAGAGCAGAGGATGTTGTAAATGAACTGTACGTCAGCCGGAGGCGTTTTGGCAGAGGTAAATCTATCCACTGCAAAGATGCTAAGGGAGCCAGTCCTGTCCATAGGCAAACTGCTTTAATGGTTAATTAGTTTCACTGCAACATATTTAAACCCCCAGACTGGGTTTTCTACCATTAATTTACAGCCACCAGATTTGATGTCTGCCTGCTAACACAAAATAACGAATGTTTTAGTGATTTTAATTTATTCAGTGCCTTACTGTCATACTCATCATTCAGTAGGAAAATATGGTCATCATTGCGATTATTGTTTTCTAAATCATGTCTTCTTTCCTCACTTTCTTCTTTCTGCATTGCTGTTCTGTTTCCATTTTGCACAAAGGGTTTATTTTCACCTCCATTGCATCTGTTGACGGTATCGGCAGTCAAATAGTTAATCTTGGCGTTTTAAGTTGGTGGTAGACTTGGACATAAGCAGTGAAGCAAATGAGCAAATGCTGGCACAGAGAAGCGCGTATTGCTCAGCTGTGGTTTGTGACTGATGTTTATATTTGCATTGAACTTAGGCTTGGGAGGGTGCAACGCTGTGATTAAAGTTTATATTGTGGAGAATCTGACTGCATCACATCGACTAGGTAACCTGGTCACATTTAATTATTACTGAAAAGTTGCATTTAGGTTGTTTTTTGTGGTGGTTTGTTGTTTTTTTTTTAAACTGAAAATTTCAGGTACTTACTTTGTTCTCACGGACAGAAGTTGGAGTTGAATGAGAAGAAAAAAGCGTGGAGGAAACTGAAAGCTACTTGTCCTTAAAGGCCTGTCCCAGACGAGGTGGCCAAAGTGCAGTTTTCTGTGTAGTAAGGAGGATAGATTCTTCTTCCTTAGGCGGGATATGTACAGCTGGGATCAGTTTGTCCTGGGCTGGAAGGAGTGCCTGATGAAAGAGCTGCTGAAACTGCTAAGTGACATTTTCTGTGAAAGTCTTTAGGATTATATAAACTTGGATTAACTGTGCGAGGGTGGAAGTTTCTCCTCAGTCATTTTTGAGGCAGCTGTGTTTTAAAACTGTGTTCATAAACTTACCCACTTGAAAACTAGTTATTTTCTTTTGGTTTTGCCTTTGTTCCCATTACTTTGTCCAAAACCTGCTCCAGGATTGCACTGCTCTGATAGAAGGATTCTAATTTCTAGGCGGAGATTATATGTATGTGATTTATCTCTGTTTCTTTTGTCAGTGTTCTTTATCTCACCACCTTCCTTCTCCAGGGCTTATCCCTTTCCTCTTCACCTTGGCAAAGAGGGTAGAAGACGACAACAAAGTACTTCGCTGAAGGTGTGGAGGAATTGGCTTGGAAAGTTCAGGGCATTTAAAAAAGATTACTTAATGACAGCACCTGCAGAATTCCTCCCAAACTGGGTCTTCCAAAGCTTAGAAATCATGCTTTCCAGACCATGAGACTAACTGGAAAAAAGTAAAAAGGGAAATTAAAATTATGTTTCTTTGTGGTGTTTGAGCCATTAGGGTGGACCTGGATTTGAGATTTCCAGAAAGCACTTATTTTTCTTTCTGAAAGCTGCTGGTTTCATGCAATCACTTACGGCCAGACACTGGGCTTTTGGGAAGGAAGCCAATTATAACTTGCCAGAAATAGGCAAAACTGGTTTGTAAATGATTGGTAAGTCTAAACAACTGCAGACTGAGGGAATTTGCACCTGTTTGGGCCCAAATTTATACTTCAGTGGGTCTTGCTTTTATTAGTATTTAACAAAACTGAAGGTAAATTTTCATCTGACCAAGGTTGTTTTTATTTTTTCCCCTGCATGCCATCAGCCCCTGTGCTCTGACCACTATTATATCTTGAGAAGGAGCAGAAAGGAACCTACCTGACAACGCGAGTCAGTAAAAATCACCTACATCATTGTGCAGGGTTTTGGGGCCGGACAACGGTGTTGCAGCAGGGCTCTGGCATTCCCAGTCTGTACCATTGCCACAGGAGAGGGTGCCTGGGCATTGCTGTTAGTGCATGAGCCTGTTTAGGAACAAGCAACAGTGGTGTTTGTGCTAGCGATGGCAACATCCCAGAATATAACAACAGATTCTCTGAAATGCATTAGTGCTTTAGGGAAATTATTTAGGAGAAGGGTGCGTGGTGTGAGGAGTTTGCCAAGTAAGAAGGATTTAAGAATATGGTAAGGAAACGCAGAGAGATGTGAGGCAAATGGTTTAATATGTTGTATCTCCTGTCTCTGATTTCTGTAGTGTTTCTTGTCTTCTATGCCTTGTATGCCGTCCATCCACTGCGTAGAAGTTTTCCCTGCAAGTAGCGACTGAGTCACTTGGTGCACATTTCCTCTCCCTGTTTTAGTACATGAGGTTGAGTGAAGTAAGAAGTCAGCAGACCTGTGTTTTCCAAAGATGGTTGTGTCTGAATCACATCACATTGAAAATGTAACCCTTGAAAGAGGGTCAGGGAATAGAAGTTGTTTGATGCACGGGATAGATGTTAGTGTCATAGTCTAAATTCAGTGGCACGGGGTGCAGAAATGCACATTTCTCATTAGTTCGGAGTTTTCCCAGAATTTTCCCATTGAGTATCTTGCTAAAGCTTTTAAATTGGTCAGCAGTGTGAAGTTGTTTGCTCATGAGATGAATCATCGTTAGTCATAAAAGACTCTCCTTACCTCGAAACGGCTTCTCGTTATGAAATGAGAGAGAAAAGTAGACAGAACACCTTTCAGCCTCGCTCCTGCTAAAGGATGCCTGGGAAAGGAAATTCAAGTTTTATTCTCTTTATGAAATGCTTGTTTGATTGATTGATTTAAAGTTGTTGGAAATTTAGCAATAACTTTTCCCTAGTGCTGGCTTGTCTTCAATCAAAGCAATTTGTATAAACCAATTGATAAAGTGTTAGTATACATTGGCTAGCGTTTTCAACAGTAGTAGAGGGTTTATTGTAATATCCTCTCCTGTTTGTAGGTTGTCCATGGGCAATTGTGGTTAGTGGTTCTTGTGGATGCAGTGAGCTGCATACAAAACCACAGATATCCCAACCTTCCTCTGCTTTTGGTTGCAGGGAGCGGGAACTAACGGTATTCGGCTGACCATGGAGAGCGCTCTGACAGCCCGCGACCGTGTCGGGGTGCAGGATTTTGTCCTGCTTGAAAACTTCACCAGCGAAGCAGCGTTTATTGAAAATCTGCGTAAACGCTTCAAGGAGAATCTGATCTATGTGAGTAACAGAGTGACAGATGCCAAAGTGTCCATCAGTGACCTGAATTTGGGTGTTTGCTGCAGAAGACGTGCCATAGCTTTGCTCTGCAGTTGGATTTGGAGATGGTGGTATCGACTTTGATAGACCATGGTTGCTTGTGTCAGAACTAGTCTGGGATACTGTCGTGTTGACGGATGTAGGGACTCATTGCAGTGCTCCAATTGAGATCTGCTGGCATTTACAGGTCTTGCCAGCACTGAAAATCCAACTCACGGCACATTCTTCCATTTCATTAATTCACTCTGTGGTGGGCTTTCAGCAACCCCAGGCTTGAACTTGATCCTAAATAGTATATCAGAAATAATCCAGTATTCCTGCTTGTTAGAAGCTAGTACCATTTGCAGGTGCTGTTTATCCAGCAAGGATAACATGTCTAGCGTAACTCCCACAGTGTCGTTCTCACTGCGCTGAGAGGTCACTTCTTCAGCACCCTTGGCCTCTTTGGAAGCCCTCCGCAGCATCCCCGGTACACCGGGGCAGGCAGCCGTTGTCAACAACATATGGCTTTCAGAGCAGTCAGAGAATCTGCTGCCAGACCTTCTGTAACCTCTCTACTTTTATGTTCTCTTTTTCAGACATACATTGGCTCGGTTCTGGTGTCTGTTAATCCATACAAGGAACTGGAAATCTACAGTAAACAGAACATGGAGCGATACCGTGGTGTCAGCTTCTATGAAGTTTCTCCTCACCTGTGAGTGGCCTGTGGGTAAACAGTGCAGTTTGTGCGGTTCCCACGCAGGCATGAGCAATAATGACATGTGAAAACAAGCAAATAGGAGTTTTCCTTGTCCCAGATGCAGCACTAAAAATCGTAAAGATATAAAGGATCCTTTAGAGGGTGTGGTGTACCGCTCTTTCTATTCCTGTTCCTCTCTCCAAAGAGGATGAGTTGCCTTTGCAAGAGCAGTATTTGGAAAGGGAGTTGGTTCCTTCCTGGCCGGAGGAACAGAGCTGCTTACCCAGCCCTGGCAGGACAGGAGTTCATTGTTCCAGGGTTACTTGGGGTCTGCGTGTCCGGGCTGTGAGTTTCCCCTCCTGCCACATCGCTCATTCAACGTAGGGCTAACAAAAAAGAGTGTGTCTCTATGTGTGGTGGTTTCTTTCCTACCTCTGCTGTTACTGCCTGACCAATATTTATCTGGTATTTCCCTTGTTGCTAAGACACCGTCAGCCTGTTGGAACAAGGAATGTATTTATTTACATGGTCTGGCCTGGTGAGCATTCCCAATTTCCCATTTAAAAAAAAAAAAAAAAAGTTGTTTGAGGTTTAAAGTTATTTTTGAAAGCATTTGAATTTTTTTGTCAGACTGAAAGAGAAAGATGACTGACAGCTGAGGACATTTGGTTCCAAAATGTTTTCTTTCAGGACCAAGGACCAAATTCTGAGCACCTCTTGGAGTATTTTTTTGTGGTGTTTTTTGTTGTGTCGTGTGTTTGTTTTGTTTTGTTTTTTTTAAAGAGGTTTTGGAAGAGTAAATTATATTATTTTTGAGTGAACTATTTGGATTGTTTCTTATTACTGGCACATAGCCCAGGAGAGTAAGCAAAACAGAATGCACTGCAAGCACAGAGAGGGAGAGAAACACCACTGCTTGGGAAAGTCTGAACACTTGAAGTTGTATTTGTTATGATAAAAAAATGTGATTTTATACAGTGTTTCGGGCTTTTTAGGTGAGCCTTTATGGGGGACGATTAAACCTGGAAAAAACCTGCATTCAAACCTGCTAAGTTCAGCCCTTGATCTAGATGTGTCAGTACATCGTGGCTATGTGCAGGTGCCCTAACTTAGAGATCTGCCCCAGAAAGGTAACTGGCAGAGGCTTAAATCAGCGTCGGGCAGTTCCCGATGAAGCAGCAGAACCGAGGTCGTAGCCCCAGCCGCAGTGTCCGGGCTCAGCCCCAACCTTAACTCCACTGTCAGCTCCTACTTGCAAATTATTGTTGCTGCACAAGTTACCTTCAGTCCTGCCTTCCAGACCTGGCCTATATGCAGCCGCTTTTGCCTGTGATCAAGGCATTCTTAAGGGCTTCTTTTTCCTTAGATAAGAATTTTGTGACTCTCTGGAAAATCGTTGGGGCTGTGGCTACATTTTTATTTGTGTGAGGTCGGTACAGGACTGAGCATGATGGCAATGCTCACGTATAACATCAAGTGCTAAGCAAGTATGCTTTAATTCCTGTATGTGTTACACAAAGTGATTTAAATCACAAAGTAGCTGATTATTTCTTAGGCTGTTCTCTTTTCTGGTTTTAACTAGTCCCATGAGAAATTGTAAAACGCTCAGCTCATAAGTAAACCCTTGAGAACTGCGGTACCGAGTACCACTGCTGCCCCACCTGGGAAAACAGTATTTTTTGTAAACTGTTTTTATTGTTCCATTAAGAAACGTTACATTATTTGTTTATTTACATTACATTATTTGATCATTAATGCATTTAAAAATATTCTGAGGAGCACTGAAATGCTCTGTAAGGTAGTACTCTATGCTTCTCCTTCTACAGTACTTCAGGTGTCTTTTTTTTCCTCTTTCTCTTATTCTAAACTGATTCTAGAAAGCCAAAGTACTTGAAGATTGCTGTGCCAGTGTCAAAATAGTTTAAGGCTAGGCCTGAGCGCTGGGTTTTCTGGGAAGTGTGTCACAGGTAGTCTTTCAAAGGAGAAAAGTTATCCCTATGGGCTTGAAACACAGCATACTTCCCAGAGTGATCTGTCACATCCTGTCCTATTTATGGCCTTCCAGGGGGGTCAGAGATGGTGACTACAAATGGGACCACAAACATCTTTAAGTGAAGTGATTCTGTATGTGGTATGCATGACTGCCAGCTTTCTGCTTGAACTTACAGTACTATAAAACCACCCCATAAAGGCACACAGTCTAGAGGCAGTTCTTAAAATTTAAATTAAATTTACATTTATTCAACTGTTTTCAAAATACTCCAGAGAGAATTTGGATGGGAAGAGAAGGACTTGATTAATTTAGTGGGGTAGGCATGCAGTTGTGTTGCTAGGTAGCTCATTGGTGTTGCCTTAGCACCAAGTATTAATAGACCTGAGAAGGCCACGGCTGTTATTTTGATGAGATTATTTCTAATTAATTTCACAACATGAGAGTTTAAAAAAAAAAAAAGGAGGAGAGGGGCAAAAAAAAAAGCAAAGCTACTAAAAGGTTGTCAAGTGTATGAAGACAGGATATCTGCTTGATCACCACATGTAAGACAGCTGAAAATATTGTTATGGAGGTCTTCTTACATGAGTGCATTGTGAAGGGCTAATGCTCCTCTTTTCTCTTATCCTCTTCCATTGCACCTACCTGGTCCTTCTCCTCTCCCTCTGTAAGCAGTTGCCACCGTTGTCAGACTCATCCTCTTGCTCTCTGGTGTTGTAAAAATGTGTGTGATTCTTGGTATAAGACCCTCTCTGATCTGTCACGAGGAGGAAAAGAGAAGAGAAGAAGCAGGGGTCCGGGGCCAGCAGCAATAAACCCTGGCTGTATGCAGGCAGGAGGAACCGTCTGGTGGTTTGGGTAGGGTTTGACCTGAGTTGGATGGCAGCTTCTGTAACCTGCAGGATGCTTATTAGTCTGCTGGCTTATCCAATCCTTCCCACCATCCAAGAGAAGCTGTGAGAGGGTGGGCTATTCTGGAGCCACATGGTAGGAGCCATCCTGATAGCAAAGTCCGGTTGTGACCTTCTGAGCGTGTCATCACTTAAAAGATAAGCTAGAATAAAGATCAATGGAAAGCAAGATGTTTCCTGAATGTAAAGCTTTTTTGTCCTGCGGGACCAATGTTGAGAGATCATGTATATTTGGAAAAGTAAGTTTATCTGCACCATTTAGTCGTCTTCTACAGAAACTCTGCTTGTCAGGGAGAGTCAAAAGAACAGATTTGAAAGGAATGTGATAAATTTGTGCTATTAACCTGCAGAAGCTTGGCTCAGTGGTTAAGACATGTATAGAGATGTCAGCAATCTCCTGATCCTTCACCAGCGTGCAGAAGCAATCTGCTCTTACCCAGCCCATGGACACATACTTCTTTTTGAGGCGTCTCTGCTAGGCGTTCTCACTGTGGGACAGTCTTAGCTGAGGAGTCTCTGGCCTTCACTTGTGGAAACAAACTAATGCCTGGTTCTCATTGTCCCTTAGCTACGCTATTGCAGACAATTCCTATCGCTCCCTGCGTACAGAGAGGAAGGATCAGTGTATTCTGATCTCCGGGGAGAGCGGGGCTGGCAAAACGGAGGCCACCAAGAAGATCCTGCAGTACTACGCCGTGACCTGTCCAGCCAGTCTGCAGGTTGAAACCGTGAAGGACCGCCTGTTACAATCCAATCCCGTCCTGGAGGTAACTCTAGAGCTTGCAGTGCGGAAACTTGACGTTGAGTCATACCAGCAGCGCTCACATTTTCCAGCTGAGTGGGTGGGGGCAGCTGGACCCCACTGGGCATAACTGAGCTGTCTGTGCAGAGCGGATAAGTGTATCCTGGGAACGCTGGCTCACGGGATGTGGGCAGATGGTTTTGCGCTGCACACAGGGGAATCCCGGTCTGCTTCCAAGCCAAAGAAATGGCTGCACTTGGCCCTTTCCAGTCCATCAGGAGCAATTCTGGAGTGGCCGTGCTGCGGGGAGAGCGAGGCGTTTGGCGTGGGAAGAGTTCTGCTGCGCTGCGTAGGTTTGCAAAGCCAGAAGCGGACACATCTGCTGTGGGCAGCGCTGCCCTCTGATAAATGCATTTGTGGGTGCGTTTTCTAGTGCTGTGGAGTCCTCTAGTGTCCAGCCCTGAGCTGTCTTTGTAGTTCCCTTTGATATTTCTGCCCTGTATTCGAAGGTGTGCTGCGTGCAGGGGAAAGGTGTGCTCCCCATGAGAGGGGAGAGCCTGGCAGGCCTGGGACTGTTGGGGTGCTGCCTGCTGTGAGCAGAGCTGCAGGTGACAGTAAGCAAATAGCTGTGATGGAAGAGGGAAGCTTTGAAAAGGCTGTCAGACGTGACATATGTTGTCAGCAGTGAACTGGCATTAAAATAGGCTTGCTAGGGGGGATGGAAATGTTTTCAGAGGCATCCTCCATCTGCAGTGCTTGTGCTGGGTTATAAAGATCAGCATTAGAATTTGGGTAGCAATCTGTTTGTTTCTTGGTTTCCCTTGCAGAAAAGAAAAACATAGGCTTTAAATAGCTGTAAATAAACAACTGGCAGGTTCACTGAAGTGTTTATAAATAATCTTATTTGGTACTTATTTATTTTTCTCTAATCATTTTCATTTCAGGCCTTTGGAAATGCAAAAACCCTTCGGAATGACAACTCCAGCCGATTTGGGAAATACATGGATGTGCAGTTTGATTACAGGGTAACTTAAAATCTGTTTTATACTTCAGAACTGGTACCGGTCATAGCAGGTCTCTGTTGCCTGTGCTTTTTTGTACTGACATGTGTGTGGAGCGATTGTTTTGCTTTCCCTTGATAACAGTGTAAACAGAGTCTGTGGTAGCAAAGTTTGGTTCCAGAGGATTTTATAGTACACACTTTCCTTTCTTTCTTCCCTCATTTCTCTGTATAAGGAGACAGTGAGATTAAATCCTCTTATTTCTAGGGTATATGTGCACCATGCAAATGGATACTCCCAAAGTAAATCCACATAAGCCAGCTGTGTTCTGAAGATAATCTCTGTCCTGTGTAACTTTGCATAGTGTTTGTTTCAATTCTGATCCAAATTGCCCCACACTATGAAGACAAACATAGTGCAAGAACCAAGTAACTCAGCATACTGCAGTCATTTAAACGTCTCAGTATGTAATTCCTCCACACTCATGGTTTTGCTGCTTTTCCTTTGTGTTGAATTCCTTCCGAGAAGGAATTTTACACAAGTCAAGATCCCATTCAGTATGTGCCACTATGTTGTAGCTGAAATAGAGGTTGCGATACAAAATGACAGATAATTTGCTGTCTTTTTGTAGGCTGTCGTTTTGTATCCTGTTTGTCTTTGAATAGACCACCAAGAAGCAGAAATATTTTCCTCTGTGTTCATGAACTATTTCAATGTATTTGGTTTGATTTAGGGGGCTCCTGTCGGGGGCCACATCTTGAACTACCTCCTGGAGAAATCCCGAGTTGTGCACCAGAATCATGGAGAGAGGAACTTCCACATTTTCTACCAGCTGCTAGAAGGAGGGGAAGAGGACTTACTGCGAAGGCTGGGCCTCGAGAAGAGCCCACAACAGTATCACTATTTAGTAAAGGTGTGCATTAACTAGTGACTCTTATAATATTGTAGGACTAATATATTCTCAGTTGACTTTGTAGTTTCCTTCCTTCACTTCAAAAATAACACTGAGATGACTGCTATAAAAAGAAACACATGGCAGAAGTGCATTGGGCATGAGTAATAAAGCTTTGACAATTATTTACTTATTTATATGAAACTGTCTTTTTAGGGTCACTGTGCAAGGGTCAGTTCCATAAATGATAAAAATGATTGGAAGATTGTGCGAAAAGCCCTGTCCGTTATAAGCTTCAATGACAATGAGGTGGAGGTAAGACATGTTTAACAGCACAGCTGACTTTCCTACTCTTAAGGAATTTTTCTGCTTTGATCTTTCATTTCTGACCAAAGGCAGCATTCAGAGTGAATGTATTCTCTGCAAAAATCCTGAAAAAAATACAAAGTGTTCTCGTAAAATGTTGATTAATGCAAAAATCTCACCACCTTTTCTCACTGCACGTTCATTTCATCATCCTGATTTCTGACTGTTGCTTCCATCCTAGGATTTGCTGAGCATTGTGGCTAGCGTTCTGCACCTGGGGAACGTGCAGTTTGCTGCTGATGAGCAAGGAAATGCTCAGGTCACTACAGAGAATCAGATTAAATATCTGGCTAGGGTGAGTCTCACCAGTTAGAGATCTATTACAGGAAAGATGAATTGTAGAGGTTTCCTTATTTTGAACTTGGTATCATTGTATAATTTTAGAATATGATTTAAAATTTTTCATAAATTTACTTTTAATTGACCTAAATAAAATGCAAATGTTAACATCAAAACCCTTGAATTGATGACTTCTCTATTTACCACTTGATCCACCACTGACTTGAGGTTTTCACCTTCAGGCAGTGCAATAGACCTCGTCCGGAGAAGAGTTTTAAAGGAAGAACAACCCTTGTGGCTTTCCTTAGTCAGTTCTTTGTGCCAGAGCAATCAAGCCAATTTATTTGTTAGGTCGTATCACTGCCAGAAAGGAGGTGGTGTACGGGAGGAAAGGGAAGGACTGATACTGCAAAAGTCTTGCAGTGTGAATGGGAAATAAAGGGTTGTTTCACTGGACTGTGATTTTGGGAACTAGACTTTCTGATCTCTTAAAGCTATTACTAATGAACTGAACATACCGCTTCATAAAGTAATTTAATATTCTACTGCTTTGCAGCTTCTAGCAGTTGAAGGCTCTGTTCTTCGAGATGCATTGATCCACAAGAAGATCATAGCAAAAGGGGAAGAGGTAAGAACAGGAACTGGGGATCTGGGAGGCACATGGAATTAAATCAAGCTAGGGATACGCTGTCAGCTCTCTTACCAGAACGAAACAGTTCACTTCTCACTTGTCAAAGGAGGTTGCCAGTGCAGGAGTCCCACAGCGCAATGGTGACTTGCAGCCTGTACGGCTGGGAGACAGTGATGTGAGCTGAGCCCAGGCGGGGTGCCATTGAGTGGCTTTTTATTAACAATGAACTAGGGAAACTTAATCCCTCGGTGGAAGGGCTGCTGAACGGCTTTTTTTCTCCTTCTGCGTGCAGCTAATCAGTCCTCTGAACTTGGAGCAGGCAGCTTACGCAAGGGATGCACTTGCTAAGGCAATATACGGACGCACTTTCTCCTGGCTGGTGAACAAAGTTAACAAGTCTCTTGCTTACAAGGTAAATGAACCTTTTCTTTGTTGATATCCAGCCAAGTGTGAAAGGAAGTTTCAAATCTTTTAGCTGCAAAGCAGAGAAATGGTAAGTTCCATGCTGTACAGTGATTTCTAAATTAACTTGTTTTCCATTAAGAAGAGAGTAAAGAGTAAATGCTGTAACTAGATGGGTAAGATCCAGTGATGGATCGTAGCTGTGAGCACTTACTGACATTTATTTTTTGCCCTGTTGCAGGAAGGAGAGTTTCCGGGCTGGAGAAGTACAACAGTTCTAGGATTGCTTGATATCTATGGATTTGAGGTTTTCCAGCACAACAGGTTTGTTTCAATCAATGTCTCTGAGTTTTGAGTAAACTCTGCATGACTTCATTCATTATAGTGTTTTCTCTCCATTGTGAAATAAGACATTATTTCATCTCTGGTTGTCTTAGTAAGAGAGAAAGTGATGACGTTTAAACTTCAGGAAATCGGTTGAATAAGTGATAATCACAGGGCTTCTAACACTTTGGGCATCCTGCTAATACTTAGGCATTTACACCTATTAATGTTCCTGGGATTGTAAAGAGACTGTTGCCTTTTTGGGGCATAGTCATGCGATGGCACAGTGGTGGCTTTTGTGGCATCTTTCCATGGTGGTGTGAAGAGGAAAACACAGCTGTAAAACAGTGTGTGGGACTATGTCAGAGTCTGGAACCTGGCTCTGGCAGGTAGCAGTGAACTGAGACTCTCAAATTTGCAGTATTATTGGGCCCTACCTAAAAGTTTTTGTGTTCCATCCTTCATGTTTGTTTTTCCCTCCTTCTGGAATTCTTTCATGAGATTCACTAAATTACAAACTTACTGAATTTGCACAGTCAGTAAATAAACATTTCACAAGATGTCTTTTATTTCTCTCAATTTATGCAGAGATATATTCATGCTGCTGCCCACTGATTATAGCTTCTTTTACTTGTGGTATAGTGTTAGTGATTATTTTTCTGATTTTTGTTTGCAGCTTTGAGCAATTTTGTATTAATTATTGTAATGAAAAATTGCAGCAGCTCTTCATAGAGCTCACGTTAAAGTCAGAACAAGAGGAATACGAGGCAGAAGGCATAGCGGTAAGAGCCAATATCATCACTTCCACTCTCCTTTGTAGCACCTCACCCAGGCCGGAGGATGGGTTAGAAAAGGAGCTGCTAATAATGGTCTCCAAAGTAAATGAATTAGAGAACTTTCCCTTTACCCTTCTTTTTGAAACACTTTGGTAACTCTGTGTGGTACAGCTAGAAGTGAGTAATGCCATTCCAATCTTTTACTTTGATTTTTAAAAAATGCTTTTTAAAGGGAATGTTAGGAAAACAAATTTGATGAGTGAAAAAGCTTTGTTTCAAATTTGACAGAAAGATTATTTAAGTAAGGTGTGCCTGAAATGTTCTGAAATTTTAATGTTTTTTTCCAGTTTAGAATTGTTTTCACCCAAGTGTGATTTCTTGTCTTTGTAGTGGGAACCAGTTCAGTATTTCAATAACAAAATAATTTGCGATTTGGTGGAAGAGAAATTCAAAGGCATCATTTCTATTTTGGTGAGTCGACACCGCCTTTTTAAATGAAAAATTTGGGGCAGTGTAGTGGAAAACAAGGGGAAGAACACAGAAAGAAAAGTGGTTTAAGCTTACGTTAGGACTGTTTGAGCAGGCTAGAAGAGCAATGTTACACTGAATGGTGACACCATTAAAAGTCGTATCTGCTCTCGGGAAGGAAGCTTCCAATCCAGGCAGTCTGGAAGGAGGAAAGTGTTTTCCTTTTCAACTCAACAATTCTGCATTTGTTGAACTAAGAGCTGGCCTACCTGTTAAAAGTCCACAGGGTCAAAGTGGGGCAGTGTTTCAGTGAGACAGAGTTAGAGCTGGCCTGTGTGCTGACGAGCACAGTAAGAAATCAGTACTGGAATGTTTGCGTTTGTAGGATGAAGAGTGTCTGAGACCTGGGGATGCCACAGATACAACATTCTTGGAGAAACTGGAGGAAACTGTGAAGAATCACCCTCATTTTCTCACGTGAGTGTTCACAAAGTTGAGGGCAGTTATACTGGTAGGATGCAAGTGTGTGATAGAGCCTAGAGCTTTAATTACTCCTAGATAACATTATAACTCGTTGTGTGTCTAGCAGTAGCATCCTAGGTGTACTGGGTCCCACATAAAAGATGATCATATTTTCTCTTGCAAGGAGATTAAAGTGTGAGTTAGGATAATATAGAATAAGTTGTCAACAGTAACTGCCTTGCTCTTCTCAAGACTTTGCTTCAGAATACAGTAGGAGCAACAAAACTCGTTACTGACTTGCCTCTTCACTGATCTCTTCCTGGCATCCTACTGCTCATTTGCAGGCTTGCAGCTTGGAATTTGCAGGCTTGCAGCTTCTTGGCCCTTCCAAGATCTGGCCCAATACTTCAGGTGTGACAAAGTCTCTGGTGTGGAGTATTAGGCCAGATCATTCCCCAGCATTGATGACTCAAGTCAGACCTAGGAATAACTAGAATGTGGAGCAGAATTTTACTGGTAAAAATAGTGTTCAGAGGTGTATGTGCATTAGAATGATTTAAGCAGTGTTAGCGCTTTTGAAATTGAGAGGTTTATATTGCACTAACTCACCTGTGTGCCCACCTGCTTCCCAGACGATACTGATAGCCTCCTTTGGCTTTGGTAACCTATCCATATTGCTGCCACTTCAGTTCAGCCGGTGTGAATTCCGTGTTCCACCTTTCAGATTATTTATGTCCGTTTTGGAGCTCCAGATGCCTTTTAATCCTTGCTGAATGTTCTGCTTATGCTCAGATTAGGGTCTGTAGGGCATCTCATGAGTATGCCAGCCTGCTGCCAGCATCTTCACTGCCCTCTTGCCTGCTGCCTCTACTCTGATTTCATGTGCACACAGAACCACTCCGCAGCCTCGCCAGGAAGCTGAAAGTTCATCCATTTGAAATAAACATAAATACATTTTATGACATTTTTATGATTTGATGGTTGATAACTCTTTATTTACTTTTGGTCTTGAAAATCCGCAAGTCAGATTTATTCCCCACCCCCCTTCTGTGTTCACATAGTCCCACTCTGGGATCAAATCCGTAGTGCTTTTTGAAGTTAATCCCTCCAATGAAACAGATGTTTGTCTCTCATGAAGCTTCTTCGCTTTCTTACCAGGCACAAGCTTGCTGACCAAAAGACTCGCAAGTCACTGGGGCGGGAGGAGTTCCGGCTCTTGCACTATGCTGGAGAGGTCACCTACAGTGTTGCAGGTAAGGACGTGCATCATCTCCACTGTCTCTCCGTCTTTTCTCATCCTCCCATCCTCTGCCCTTTGAGTTAAAACAGCTTCACTGTATAGTACAGAAAAATCTGGGCATAGAATACATCCACAAGCCATTTGATTAACCAGATTAATTTCCCATCTCAAATTCCTGCCTTCTTGTGAAGTTCCTGTGGAACAGCAGTGGCAGCCTGAGTGGTTTCTTTTTCTTCTAGGTTTTCTAGATAAAAACAATGACCTTCTCTTTCGGAACCTGAAGGAGGTGAGTGTGGATAGAGGACGTTTCCAATACTTGGCAGAACGAGGAGTTGGGTTTAAAATGGGGCGGCACCTGAGGGAAAAGATTCTTCCAGACTCCACCTGGAGAATGTGTGTCTGTAGGGCTGCGCTATGAAAAGACAAATTGAGGTGCCCAAAGTTCATTTTAATATTAAAAAGCAAAACAAAACAAAAAACCCCAAACAAACAGTTTTGTCCCATGTTTCTTTGATAGTTCTCTGAAGAATACTCTGTACTTTATCTCTGAAAATGTCTCTCTCTGCAGACCATGTGCAACTCTGAGAATCCTATCATAAATCAGTGTTTTGACAGGACAGAGCTGACAGACAAAAAGAGACCTGAAACGGTAAGAACACCAGAGCTGGCTGGACGTGTGCCTATTTCCTCTTTTTAAAAAACATGTCCTGTCTAACATGGTAATCTGAATGCAAGCCTCTTACATTTAAAGCTAGGAGTTTTGTTCTGCAGTCACAAGTACTAGCTGTAAGTCATCGCTTCATACATAGTTTTCTTTCTTTTCTCCTAGGCAGCAACTCAGTTTAAAAACAGCCTCTCCAAACTCATGGAAATTCTGATGTCCAAAGAACCCTCCTACATTCGTTGCATTAAACCTAACGACGCTAAACAGGCTGGTATGACCCTGGTGACTCTTCCTCTTTTTTTTTTTTTTTCTATGACAGCTATATATAGCCCACTAGATCAGTCAGTGAGACACAGAAAGGAGCTCAAATGAAGAAATCCTGCAAGATTTTTTCATTTTGGGTCTGTGCCAGAGCTTCTTGTAGGGAGGTGGTGGCAGTACCAGCAGCCAGGAATCAGAATGGGAGCACTGGTCTTGGGTGGAGTAGGGTCATGTTTAAAGTGGAAGAATTATTAACCTACGTAACGTCCTTTTAATGACCTTTGTTCTCCCTCATTTCTTCCTCCTGTATGCATAATAGAACATCCTAAAGGAGGACTTTGTTTTGGAACTAAATACAAATGTACGTTAAAGGGCGGGGGGAGACAGGAGACACAAAGTAAGTTCTGTGGGACTTGCACCATGAAGATGGGTTAGAGGTTAAAGATAATTGTGTAAGATATAACCAAAAACTGGGCATTCCCCTTCTCCAGATGAAGGGACAGCTACACATTAATCATGTTTCTCTATTTTCATGGTCTCTCAAGATCGATTCGATGAAGTTCTAATTCGACATCAAGTGAAATACCTAGGGTTGATGGAGAACCTCAGAGTGCGCAGAGCTGGGTTTGCATATCGAAGAAAATACGAAGTTTTCCTGCAGAGGTAGGATTACCTGAGACTTCTCTCTCCCTGCTGCTCCCTCCCCTGGTCTTGGTCCCACAGATGTTTGAGGCTGGGGAGCTGTTCTGAACAGCAGAGGCAGCCGTTGCACCTGACAGACTTATTTTCTCGAGGGAACGAGAAGCATGGCCTCTCTCCCTTCCCGCTGCCCTGTATGGATTCGACTTCTCTCGGTACGATTGCTTCTGCTGTCAATTTACAGGTACAAATCACTTTGTCCAGAAACATGGCCTACATGGGACGGACGGCCCCACGATGGGGTGGCTGTGCTGGTGAAGCATCTTGGCTACAAACAGGAAGAATACAAAATGGGACGGTTAGTTCTTCTGTTTTCTTAATGTGAGATTATGAATCATTGGACATCCATATCACTGCTTTTAAATAAGGCTTCTCTATCTAATGGGTGAGGAAAAGATTAGAGATCCCAAAGGGGATGCTAAGGGCAGGAAGCAAGCTTCTCCAACATGTTAAACGTAATTCTGCATTTCTATTTCTAGAACAAAGATTTTTATCCGCTTTCCCAAGACCTTGTTTGCAACGGAAGATGCTTTGGAAGTGAGGAAGCAGAGTCTGGGTGAGTCACACACACTGCAGTAGCTTTGTGGACAGTTAGCTGTCTGGTTTCTGTTTGTTTGGGTTTGTTTTTTTTCCCCCTCCTGTTTGTTCAGGGAGGGATTTTTGTGTAAAAAGTTGAGCCTTTTTCTCCCAAAATCTGCTTGATCACCATTTCAAGTTGCTATTTTTCTTGCAATTTCAGCAACAAAAATGCAGGCCACATGGAGAGGTTTCTACCGTCGAAAGAAATTCCTGCACATGAAACACTCAGGTATATATATGTGTGTGTGAGAGAGAGAGAGGAAATTGCAGTACTGTGTAGCTGCGTGGTTTGAAGTGGCTGTTGTTGTCGGAGATGACTTGAGTTTGATGTGCAAGAAGGAACATTCCCAGACTTGAATTTGATGTGCAAGAAGGAACATTCCCAAAGCCTTGCTGGAAGTAGAATGGAAAATGTTGGTGCCATACCCAGTCCTTCCACCTTTAGTCTGTGAGACTCTGAGCAAGAGCAGCAGACTTAACTCATGTTCACACAGCAGCCCCCACACAGCAGTTCCCATCTGCCAGTGCTTTTTATTGACATTTATCCATTGTATTATATTATTAAGAACTTAAATTATATTCTTTCCCATATGCCACGTTGAAGGCTGTTCACTTACAGAGCAGGCTTTCTGAGCGCTCTTTGTTGCCAGTTTTGTACAGAGTCAATATTGGTATGAAGGAGCTCACTTAGCGCAGAACCTTTGTATTATTTTTAGCAATAGCCATCCAGTCCTGGTGGCGGGGAACCTTGGGACGCCGAAAAGCTGCCAAGAAGAAGTGGGCAGTAGAGACTATCAGAAGGTGCGTAAAGAATAACCCAAGCCATCGAATGGGTACTTGTTTATTCTTATTGTTAAGAAATTTTCTTGTCACTATAGTATCTGAGGTTTTTTTAATGAATTACAACTATTAAATAAAGCCCAGAAAATGGTTGGATTGGAAGAGACCTCTAAATGTCTCTAACTTTGATCGCTTTCCTAATTTTCTAATAACATTTTCTTCTTCCTCAGGTTCATTAAAGGTTTTATATACCGGAACCACCCTCGCTGCCCAGAGAACGAGTATTTCCTTGATTACATCCGCTTCTCCTTCCTGATGAACCTCAAGCGCAATTTACCAAAAAATGTTTTGGACAAATCATGGCCCACTCCTCCTCCGTCACTCTGTGAGGTAGGCACACCTGCACGAGGTCAGGGGAATGACACGCAGGACAGAGGAGACTGATGGCAGTGTTGAAGGCCACAGGAGACCCTCCAGCTATCAGAGAAAAACAAACCAGGTTCTTGCTCAGGTTCCACCCTGCATTAGCGTCTTTACTAGTAGAATTAATCCAAACATCATCACACGGGTGTAATTAACATATCTGTAAAATTATTAGAGCTATAGTATTGAAAGTTCGTGGGAGTGTGCTGCTGTTGCACCACCATTTTCTACTGGTTTTCTCATCCATTTCTGAAATTTTCTTCCCTTTTTCTCTGAACAAATTAAGTTCCCTCTGGACAGTTAAACTGGCTGCAGTGACAATGTGGTTGCCTGCAAAGAACATAATTAAACTTCCTCGGTTGCCACTATTGTTCTGCATCTGGTGGAATTGAGTGTAGTGGGTTTTTTATCTGATCAAAATAAAATATTGCAGAAAGTCCCAGTTAGTTATCTTATCCAAAGGGCCTTGTTTGTTTGGATTGGAGGTACAGCTGGAAGCAAGGAAGAGCACAGCAGTGTAAAGTGGAGTGCTCCTGGTATTCATTCTCCATTCTAAAGCAGTTGGAGAATGTTGCAGGGAAAACTCTCTTAGAAAGGTGGAAAATAAAGTTCCTATTATTTAATTTTAATAGTGATTCTCAGTAGTGAAACAGTATTTTAACTCAGCAGTGCATTTCCTGCAGTTGCTTCTCATCTGTCTTCACTGTTTGAGCAGGTTTGTCAGTAATTTTGAGCTATTTTCATTTACTGTGCGATTTCTTCTTCAGGCGTCCCAGCTCCTGCGACAGCTATGTATGCAGAACATGGTCTGGACCTACTGCAAGAGAATCAGCCCAGAGTGGAAGCAGCAGGTAAGAAACAACTTTACATTATTTCACAAACCACGCTGATGTTCCCAAGAACAGGCAGGGGTTCTCAGCGTTACTTATTGTAAGGAATGAAGGAGGGGAGCAGCTGGATGGGAGGGACGAAGGTGCTACTACAGAGGGAGTCACAGAAGCAGTGGTGAGGTGGAAGAACTCTTGAATCACTGCATTCTTTGGTGGTTGGTTAACACTTCCACAAGAACATTGTGGTTTGGGTTTTTTTTTTTAGATTAGAGACAAAACCCTAGAAGACTAGAATGTGCATAAAATAAAAGAAAAACCATTATATACATACTTTGATACATACCATTTAAACAGTGTTGTATATCCATGCCCCTATATAATTTCTATACTGAAAGGCCCTGTTATTCTTCCCATGGAAGATAAAAATGTAAGAAGCTGCATTATTCTGGTTGAACCATATAAAATAAAAAGAAGTCTGCAGACACAAAACTAGTCATTTTCCAAATGGAGAAGCTACATGAACAGTTGCAGCTGCTGTTCAGGCTAAAAACAATAAAAATGATACTGAGATTTGATTCATCTTAGTCATGGAAAGGTAGGGAATTTTTTTTTATTTAAAAGTCTCAGTAAAGGGACATAATAGGAAACAATTTAGATGTAAGTGTTAGGTTGATGATAGTAATACTTGCCATTAAGCTTTTTTTTTTTTTATTGCACAGTATCTCATACTGCTTATGAAGGCCTGCAAAGTGTTAAGCACATGTAACAAAATGCTGTAGCTTAGGTAGTGGCTGAGCCTGTGATTAAGGACACAGGATTACTACTTGCCATTACTGAGCTGGAGGTAGAGACTCAGCAGAACACTTTCTTTTCCCCAGCAAACCAGATTCCCTAATAATGACTGTCTTTTATCCACATTTTTACTATCTCAGGTACTTATACCATGTAATAGCACCCAGAACATGCATTTGCCCTCAATAAAGCAAAGGGGCTTTCCCATTTCCTCCTTCACTGGTTTCGTCCTCACTCTGAAGGAGCAGAGCACAGGTCATAGTTACAGCGTGGGGTGACTGTGTCCCCCAATACCACCGCTGTGAAAGGGACCACCGGTTTGCGGTGACTGACCAGCTCAGCAGGAGCTCCCGGGGCATTGTGGTAGCTAAGGGAATTGTACTGTTTGTTTGTCAGAGGATGAGGTAGAGAATGTGGAGTAGATCAGAGAGCTGTAATGAATGTCTTACGTGGGTGCTAATTGGGATGTAACTTTTTTGTCAATACTTCCAAGTAAAGGCTTCAAGGATGAGGGGGGGTAGGGAAATCTGAAACATGAAAAGCACCGTGTGGGGTAGAGCAGGAGAACACACTGTTTAGGTTAAGGAGGAAGAGGTTAACAGAATCACTGCAGTGGGAAAAGTCTGAGACTTTAAACATGGGCATTATCAAATTCCAGAGACTAGATGCTATGTCCAGATAAATTCAAACTGGAAATATGATGCATACTTTTGAGATTTAAGGGGGGGGGCGGGGAAAGGAACTTTTTTTTTTACCCTAAAGATAGGGTAGCTGTTGAAAATGTAAGGGATGTATGGAGTATTTGGGGTAATTTTGTGACTAGTATGATTCAGAAGGTCAGAATAAGATGACGACTGCCAAAAAACCAAAAAGGGAACATCTCTTTTAAGACAAATTCATCTTGTTATTAAGGAGAATGATACCAAACAAGAATATATCTTTTGTCCTTGCAGCTGGAACAAAAAGTAATTGCCAGTGAGATTTTTAAGGGTAAAAAAGACAATTACCCTCAGAGTGTTCCTAGACTCTTCATCAACACTCGACTCGGTGAGTAGGTGTTGTGAAGTTTAACAGGAAGAAGGAAGGAGGGGACTTACTCTGCTCTTTTCTTGCTAGAAATTTCTTTCTGACCCCCACCTCTCTGGTTTTACTACAGGTAATGAAGAGATAAATGATAAAGTCCTTCAGGCTTTAGAAAATGAAGCCATTAAGGTGAGATATGTGTCCTAATACTTTTGTCAAGCTTCTAGAGTTAGTCTGCTGAATATCAGAAGATTAGATTTCTGAGGAAAATACAGCAAGAATTTTATATATTAAGCTTGTAATACCTTAGAATTTAGTCTATGGGAAGAGCTGATGGCTCAGAAATACGATTTGGAGATTGGGGCAAGTTTAATTATGTCAGTTAAGAATTGAAAGGGCTGCAGCTGGCAGGGCTGGAGAGGAAAGGAGAAACCTACACAGACAGAAACTAAACCTGGATTTTTCAAGCCCACAGTCAGACAGCTGTAGTCATCAAGCTATTGATCAGAACTCCTCTAGGTCAACAAGGAAGTCTGTGGCAGAACCAAGAGTAGGACTCAAAAGAGTTGTCTGCATTCCCAGTTTACCCACCACTGGTCAGTGCCTCCTGCAAGCTCCCTAGGCTAGAGGGAAGGTAGGTAGCAATTGAACAAGTTGCATTTCTAGCACTGTTAACACTTATTTCAGTATGCAGTTCCTGTGATCAAGTATGACCGGAGAGGATACAAAGCAAGAACACGGCAGCTGCTGCTTACACAAAACGCAGTCATCATAGTTGAAGAATCCAAAATCAAACAACGGATCGACTATGCCAATCTGACAGGTACGAATGGTAACATATATGGGCTTTGCTTCACTTGACTGACATCAGTCTTCACCTTGGCTATAGTTAAATAAGTAATAATACAATAACCAATTTGTCTTTGTCCTGGACAAGAATGGCATTATCTGAAGCGGTTTAAGTCTGTAATATCTTGAAACTGAGTTTTTCTAAAATTAAACTCGCATAAAATGTTACAAATATTACTCAATTCATCTCCCTTAAGTAATTTCCCAATTGCACATCCCTACCACAGGGGAGTTGCACCATTATTACGTAGCAGCTGCCTGGGACACTGCTCCAACTTTCAGCCCTCTTACATATTTGACACAGACTTGATACTTTTAGAGAGGGGAACTTGGTCAGAGAGAGAAAACCGCTGGGTCTGGCACGCTGTAGTCATTACTTGCCATGGTCTGAAACCTCTCACTTCACAGCTCCAGCTCCCAGCTCAGCTACAGTTCCCGACTACAGCCAGTATCGGTGCTAATCATTTCAGTGTTAGCCTGATACAACCATCTACTGTATTTGTAACTGTCACCACTTGAAGTGGTTTCCAAGGGCAACGCTAATTCGGGGTTCTGTGACTTCTGTAAGATGCTATTATGGCAGAGACGTATGTTCATCTCTGCTAGGGTTGGGTTAGCTCCACTGAAATAGCTAATCTCTAGCATGAAGATATTAAACGAAGTCCAAAAATAAACGACGATGAAACAGACACTCCTGGGACACACCACAGTGCTCCTTAACTAATCCCTACCCACCTACCCGAGGGAGAGGGGGTTTTTTCATTTAACAAACACGAGCAATTCATGGCAGAGGCCAAAGCCTCTCGCTCGCTGTCTGGTCAGAAGGCACTGCTGGCTGGATGAGCAGCAGTGCTGAATTCAGAGCCCGATCGGTCACAGTGCAGCCTAAAGAGAACCTGCAGCAGCTCAGGACCAAGATGCAGGGAAGCGGCTGTGGGGTCAGCCTGCCCCCAAGCCTAGCTGCAGGGCAAGCCAAGGCTTCACAGCAATGACAACTTCACTGCTCCTCCAGCAGCTCTGGCCTTTCCTACCCAGCGTTGGCAGTGGTGGGGGGGAAAGACAGCAGTGACCACATTGTTCCAATTGTCCCTCTCTTCCTTGGTACCCCAGGAATTACACCACTCACTCATTCACTCACTGTCCAGTGGGTGCTGAAAAGAGATTTTGGTCATAGGTCTCTTAGCTGGCCAAAGTAGCACTTTTTCAAGTCGATGAAGGCTGTAACAGTTTGTAAACAGGCATTCTTCCTCCTTCTGATGGACAGAGGCATCTGAAAGTTTCTTTTCCACCCTAAAGAGCAGTTTCAGCCGATTGTCTGTCACCTTGCAGCCTCTTCAGCCTCTCTGCAGACACTTAGCGCAGTGCTTCTGTGCAGCTTCTCAGCTGTTGGGTCTCTTGGCACGAGAACAACAGTTGCTGCATTCCTCGGAGGGGTTCTGAAACAGAGGCAAGAATCCTCCTCGTGTTGTGTTGGGTGTCAAACGGCCATTCTCTATTGCAGGCATCTCCGTCAGCAGCCTGAGCGATAACTTGTTTGTGCTGCACGTGCACTGCGAGGATAACAAACAGAAGGTAGTGCGACTCATCCATCATTTCTCCAACCACCTCTAGAAAAGTTTTAAAGGCAGAAAGAGCAGAAGACCCAGCTGGGGGGTGTGGGTTGAGCACACACGGTGACATGTAGGGGTGAGCAGCCCCCATCTGTAACTTACTTTGTCCCAGCTCTCAGTAGCATTTCACTTACTGGTGCTCACAGATGGGGTTCACCAGTGACTTGTTCACCAACAGGATTGGTGCCGCCCCTTGCCCCGTTACTGATACCTTGTAAATACGTTAACTGCCATACATGCAGTGCCACCCACAAGAGGCCCCCGAGATCTCCCACCAAGCCTGCTCCACTTGCAGAAGTGTTTTTCCGTGCTAACCTATGGAGATAGTTCTGTCCCTGTTAATTACAGCATAATCATTTTGGTAAACCGACACTGTAAAGCCATAATCCTAAACCGTTCTCTTTTTCCTCCCAGGGAGATGTTGTACTTCAAAGTGACCATGTGATCGAGACCCTAACAAAAACAGCCATGCAGGCAGACAAAGTCAATAACGTCAACATCAACCAGGGCAGGTGAGTGAAGCCAAGCCCCTCGCAGGAGCTGCTTCAGTGTGAAAGGGCTACGGAACACACCTTACAACGTCCACGTGTGCCTAATAAGAGATCTGAGCTAAGGCTCCGTTTCCTTGAACGAGCAGCTCTAGTGCAGCCAAGCATCAATAGAAGGCAGCCACTCACAGAGGAAAAGGGTAAAAACTAAGCTAGTGGAGAGGTCACAAATACTTACCAAATCTGTTCTCACCTCTTTCTCTTCGCAGCATAAAATTTACAGTTGGGCAAGGCAAAGAAGGCATAATTGACTTTATATCGGGATCAGAACTGCTCATAGCCAAAGCCAAGAATGGCCATCTAACAGTGGTGAGTACAGGCCGAGGTTGGTAAGAAAGAGTAGATCGCAAACGGATCCAAACCCAGCTTTTGGCATCAAACCGTCAAACGCCACCTGACTTTCTTGCTGACTGCCCTGGTCTACCAGCCTGTGCCCCAGCTGGAGCTGTGCATTGTACTTCTCCTCCTGCAGTCTCAAAAGACTGCCAGGCTTACTCAGACTCATCGAGTGATTGTCCTATCCATCACCCTTTCCCCCCCCCCCCCAATATTCAGGCTTTAACGCTATATTCCATCGCAAATCTAATTATACAAAGACATTTAAAAACACAGGAAGAAAAAAAAATTCTCTTCCTATATCAAATTGTTTGTAGCCTCCCTGCTAGCCAGATATAGTCATGCAACTGATTTCTGCGCTGTCAGATTAAAGGTGATTCAGAAATAAACCCAGAACATATTCAGACTGCACTCGCTCCCCTTCCAGCATCGGAGCCAAGAGCGAGCTCCCAGGTCCTGCTGCGAGCTGACTGGCCGCACAGCAGCGGTCACCATTGCCCACCTGGCTCTCCACCGAAACAGTCCGCCCCGTAGAAGCCACAACCGCAGCACTGCCAAGGGCTTTCCTTGCTCTATGGAACACCTATAGACCGCACACAGGCAGGGAGATCACAGTTGCATAAGCATGCTCAAGCGAGGATCACACTTCCTTATTTGCTATCAGTGACAGCAAACCAAGTAACTTCTTGGACTATGAAGAAATACATCCCGTAATTTTTCCCCATGGCTTTTCAAGCCATCCCTAGGAACGTTCTTCCAATTTTGCCCCTCCCTGGCAAAGCAGTGTCTTCCTGGACTACTCGCCTGGGGAGAGGTCTTTAACATAACCACAGGAACTGGGGCACGAGCGCGCTGCCGACTCCAACTTACCGAACCGCCCACATCTGCTCTGGTTTCCTGCCCAGGCTGCAACGTCACCCCTTCACAGGGGAGCAGAGGGGACATACCGTGCCCTAACAGCTTAATTCTAAAGCCAGTCTTTGGTGCGCTTTAAAGGTGTTTAGGAGCTAAAACTGTTGCAGCACCTTTGTTTTCAACACGCTTGCTAGCTTGTCCTTCTTCTCCTGCAGGTTGCTCCTCGTTTGAACTCTCGATGATAAAACGTGCCACCACCACCGGACCTTTCCCTCCATCAGTCTGACTGCACCCTGTACAATTGGCTGGAGGTTGTTCCCAGCAAAGCCCCCCCTCCTTCCTCGCTTTGCTCATTTTATTGTTACCAAAGACCTGCACTTTCAGAAAAAAAAAAACCACCACAAAATACATCTTGCTTTCTTGTCTTAATATGAGTTCCAAAAGAAAGGCCTTCTCTTCCTTACCTTAGCGGCGAACGCGTGGGTCCAAGGCAATGTCTGTGAAACCGTGGCTCATGAAACATTCAGCTGGGCTTCGAGGGAGAGGTAGCTCTGACTCTAGTATTAGAGTTTAAGCCCTGATGGAAATGACCAAAATTTGTGCTTGTCATCAAAAAGCACAATCAGAAAACAAGTAACTCTGCTGCTTTGTCAGCTGAATCAATGAATCGCCAAACTATATACTCAGAAAGAATGTTTTATGAAGAATTTTGCTCTGAGACATTTTGATGCTTTGTGTTACAATAGATTAAAGCCATATTGTGTAAATGAGTAAAAAACCTGTAAATACTTTATAGCAGAGTATGAGATGCACTACAAGAAAAGGAGTTGATGTGGAAACTTTTATGTTTTAGATTTGGAATTTTTGTTGGTTTTAGTTTATGATTATAAGGTATTAACCTGAGAAACCCATCATGTAACTTCTTCACTGATCCGGATCCAGAGACTCTTACCTTTTTTTGAAGTCACCTGTCCCATTTCTCGCTCTATAGTGATATTTTTATACCGTAGTAACTTTTCCATATCCACACATCCAAGCAAAGTGTAAGTAATACAAACCGCAGAGGTTACTACTTCTCTATGCCGCTCTAGGCTGGAAATGAAACCCGTTGTCCTCAGCCACAGGATGCGGACATCAGCTTCCCCTCCCACCTTGTACCTGTCTGGGAGTCACCACTGCCTGTTCCCCCACACAGCTCATCAGGCTCAGAGCAGCACCTTCAGAAAAAAACAGCTTTTCCTCTTTTAGTGAGAACTGGAAGTTTTGAGTTCCCACGATAAAGCTCCACAACGCTTACACAATAAACACCTCTCAGCACTGCCTTAAAGAGGAAGAGAGGGCTAGCTCAGCCCTGCTGGCCTCACTGACCAGCCGGCCGACTGCCTCCCCTGCATGGAAGCATCTTCCCAAGCAGGCTGCGTCGCTTCCGCTCTAACCCAAAGCTGGAAGGGATACAGGTGTTGAATGCTACCTGGTCTCAGCCCCCAATCCGGAGGCTAACGCTAAGCACCTTCATTTAACAAAGAACCCAACTGGCTACAGGGCCGACAGCTCCGTGTCAAATACCTGCGGCTGCAACGCACAGCTCCAGCTTCCATTCCAAGTTCTAGACCTCGGTGCGTTTTGCACTCCACTTGCCTTAGAAATCCTTGACGTTCCACCTCTGTCCCGATGCAGGAGCAACCACCATTACAGGAAGCCCTGAGTAAGATATAACCAAACATGCTGCCACTCACATACGATCGGCTCCGTCTCCTACTCTTCGGTTTCTGACATAATGCAGTTACCAAACAAACACTGCCCCAGGCCTGGAATGCTGTATACACTGTAGTACATATACACCATACCACATCACCGTATATGCTAGAGTGTATATACCATACAATGCTGTATACCCCATTATATAATCTCTTCAAGACTACGCTAAATAAATTTTTACAAAAGAAACACACCTTGTCCTTGTTGTAGAAACTGTTTAATCGCATTTCTTAATTTTTTTAAGAGCGAGGGTATGATTCTTCCCCCCCCCCCCCCCCCCCCCCCCTCGCTTTTCTTCACA